TCTCATCACTTCCTCTCCCAACATTTATTACTTGGTGTCTCATTAAACTTTGCCACTGTTACTGGAACGAGATGGCATTTCATTGTGGTTTTTTATTACCAGGGATTTTGAGCATTTTTTCATGTGTCTGTTGGCTGTCCGAATATCTTCTTTGGTAAAAATTCTTTCCATGCCTTTTACCTATCATAAAACATCTCTTAAAGGTGACAATAACTTGCAATAGAATTTTAATATTTAATAGTATTTTTTCACTTGCTCTACAAGATGTGCCTTTTAAGCCAAAATACAAAATTCTGATTTTTTTCCATCTAATTTTTAATTTTTTTTTCTCTCCTCAGAATAAGGTGAAATCCTTTTATCGAACTCTTATAACATACTTGGCCCATAGTAGTTTAACCGTGGTTGTGTTTGCACTTTCGATACTATCCAGTTTGACATTAAATGAAGAGGTTGGGGAAAAGGTAAATATGATTTGTTAAACTATCTATAAAGATAATACCTCCATAGGTCATAATTTTTAATACATTAGACATTATTGAAATCTTTTGCAGCATTTTAGAATAACGTCCACTTCATGTTATGTGTAATATACTTTTCTATTTTTTTTAAGCTATTCCATGCCCGAAACATTCACCAGACTTTTCAATTGATATTTAATATTCTTGTAAATGGTGATGGTACACTAACTAGAATGTATTCAGTGGACCTGCTAATGGATCTCCTTAAAAATCCTAAAATTGCTGATTATCTTACCAGGTAAGACTCCTAGATTAAAATTAGAACCTTTTTTCTTTCATATCAAAACATGTTTGTAATGTATAAAACTGCCTTTGTACATAAGTTGTTTTTGTTGTTAGGTGCCATCAAATCAAGTACGACTTAGAGAAACCCTATGAATAACAGATCTAAACCTGGTTGTATCTTCCAACATCTTTATCACCTCTTACCTACTTGAGTCCATTTATGTAATCACCATGGCATTCAGCTGGTTGAAGGTCTTCTTTTGCTGACCCTCCACCTTTCCAAGCATGATGTCTCTTTCTAAAAGGAATAGCCCCTCTTAACAACATGCCCAAAGTATGTGAGATAACACTTCATTGTTTCATTTCCTTGTCTCCAGGGAGCACTTTGGTTGCACATTCTCCAAAACATACCTGTTCACTCTTGTAGCAGTCCATGGAATACTCAGTACTCTTCTCTTAAACAACATCTCAAAGGTATCAGTGATTCTTGTGACAACCTTATTCATTTTCAAGCTCTCAGATGCATAGCAAGTTATTGAAAAGACCAAGGCCTGAATTAGGCACACTCTAGTCTTTGAACTGCCATCATTGCTCTTCAATATTTTGGAGAAGTTTTGATAGCAGACATTAACAACGAGTCACATCTTTTGATTTCCTAACTGCTGGTACCAAGGTTACTTACTGTAGATCCAAGTAAGATGAAATCATTGATAATTTCAGTCTTTTCTCCACCTGTCATAAAGCTACCTATTGGCCCAGTGGTGAAAATTTTTGTCTTCCTGATGTTGAGATGCAATCCATGTTGAAGGCTGTAGACTTTAATCTTCTACAGCAAATGTTTCAAATCCTCATCACTTTGAGCAAGTAAAGTTATGACCTCTGCATAACACAGGTTGCTGATCCTGATGCCATATTCTTTTTTCATAAAGTCAAGTTTCTTGAAGATTTGCTTAGCATACAGATTGAATAGGTATGGTGAAAGGATATAGACCTAAGGTACACTTTTTTTTTTTAATTAAACCATGTAGAATTCCCTTGTTCTGTTTGTACAAAAGCTTCTTAGTCTAGATTTAGTTTCCATGTAATTCTTTTGAGATCTTTGTTCTCCGTGTTAGCCATAGTCTGTTATTCACACAGTCAAATGCCTACATATAGTTGATAAGACATGGATAGATATTCCTCTGGTATTCTCTGCTTTCAGCAAAGACTCCGCTGACATCAATAGTTATATCCCTGGTGCCATGACCTCTTCTAAATCCACCTTAAACCTCCCTCTCAATGTACTGTTCAAGCTGCTTTTGGATGATCTTCAGCAATATTTTGCTTGCAAAGATATTACTCCAGAATTCACATTTTCTTGGATCACCTTTGTTGGAAATAGGAACAAATTACTCAATTGGTCAGGTAGCTGTCTTCCAAGTTTCCCTGGACAGACTGGTAATCACATCTCAACAGAACCTTGGCTGCGTATTAGTTGGAACATGTTAATTGATACTCCATTGATTCCTAGGGTCTTATTTTTTTGCCAATGCCTTCGATGTAATTTTAATTTCTTCCTTCATAACTATTGGTTCTGTTTCATATGCTAATTCTTGAAATGTTTTAATATTGCCCACTTGTTTTTGGTACTGCCACTCTGTATTCTCTCCATCTTCTTTTGATGATTCCTGGATCATTCAAGATTTTGCCCAGAGTATCTCTCAGTATTAAGGCTTGGATTTGTTTTTAACTTTTTTTCCGCTTGAGAAATCCCAAGTGAGTTCTTTTCTTTTTGTTCTCCAGCTCCAGCTCTTTGCAAATTCCATTTTAATACTTTGTCTTTTGTGCAGCCCTTTTCAGCTCTTTTACTTCAGCATCACTTCCCTTTATTTTAACTTTTTGATGCACTAGTGCAATTTTTAGAGTTTCTTCTGACATCCGTTTTGGTCTTTCTCCTCTGCTATGTAATTACCTTTTGTTCTCTTTATGGATGATATCT